GTTCTGCTTCTTGAACTCTGTGCTGGGCCTCAAATAAATACATGTGTAGTCTTTCCTTGTGTGTGAAGAAATAGTCACACTCTCAACAGAATAGGATGAAAACCTGTAACTATTTCAAGTTTTATCTTGAAATTTGGCCTGGAACTATGTTGATGAGCCTCGCTGGCCTTGAACTCACAGAGATCCATCTGCCTCTGTTTACCAAGTGCTGGGATTAAAGGCATGAGCCAACACCATCTGGCTCAAGTTTTATCTTTTAAGATATGAAAATAAATGATACTAACAAGGGAATTTCTCAGATCAATGAAAATGCCATTGACTTCCTGACTTGGGGCACCTTGGTATATATATTGCTGATGGAATAGTATGTTAAAAAATAGTGATATACATATATGCACAACGGAGGCATTGAACCCAAGCGTCGAGCAACAGCTGATCAAAGCTGTCTGTCCACGAGGACAAATAGCACCAGTGTCTGAGTGTCTGAGTTTGGGGAGCCAGGTGATGGTGGCAGGCCAAATATCCGTAGCCTAAAATTGCACTTATGGTAGGGGGTGGAAATGCCTTAATTGAATACTGTAAAGCATGATATAGATAGACATTCCTCATGACCCACCTGACTTACTAACTCCAGAGATGATCACCATCAACTACTTGATTTAGTGATTATTTTCTACACACACACACACACACACACACACACACACACACACACACACACACTTTACAAAATGATAGCATACTGTCTGACTGATTATTTTAATTTTTAAATACTTAAGGCAGACAGTTTTATATAAATTGTGTAGATCTGGATCACACACTTAAATCTGTAGGCATTTTATTTCAAGGTTTGCATACTAATTTAGGTTAGTGATCATTTAGTCAAAGACTTTTAGGTACCTGTCTGGTTTTTGCCTTCTCAGATCACCAACTGCCATCTCTTTTCCTCTGTGCTTATTTGTGTAGCTCTTTAGAATTAACTTCCTAGAATCGGAACTTCTGGTTAAAGTGGCTTGTATTTCTAAATATAGCAGCAGGTTTTCTCTGGCAATGATGTGGAGTTCTCTATACCTGCTTCCAATAGTGAGAATCACTTATCCTTTAGAAAACTACTAGGAAGGATTCAAAAACTACCTCTTAATTTTGCATTTTTAACTAACTACAGTGAATGTTTTGGGATTTCCCTTCAGATGATTATTTCAATATTTGAAATAAACCCTTCCTGCTGTTAACTGAGAAGTAAAAACTATCCCAGCCACACAGTATTTCTGCATTTATTTTAAAACAGCATTCATATCCACCCACGTTTGCACACTCCATCAGAATTAGGTTCAGCATGTGCTCCATTATGAAACATCACACACAGAAAAGTACTAGTTAAGAAATTCTCTCCGCCATACATTCATGTACACTGACATCTAGAAATGGCACAAATTATACAAAGCGATGGGCACTGCTTGCCAGTGAAGTACACACAATGGCTTTCAGTTCTGTTCACTTCCAGTGAGACCCTGCTGTGCCTGCAGGGAAGAAGCTAACACAGTTCTCAAGGTGCTTCCTCTCTGCAGCTGACCCCATAACAAGGCCCTGAAACCAGCCATCAATGAGAGACCTGAGCACCAACCACCATGTTGGAAGATATTGCTAATTTCTAATTTGCGGGCACATTGCTCATAGTACTTATATTTTATCACCTGATTATAGATGGTATTATATTAGATATTGGTAGGCTGACAAATCTACCTTTAACGGAGCATTTGCTATGTACCACAACATACATAATTATCCACACTTAAAAGGCCACCACTCGAACACGCCTTTAATCCCAGCACTTGGGAGGCAGAGGCAGGTGGATCTCTGTGAGTTCGAGGCCAGCTTGGTCTCCAGAGCGAGTGCCAGGATAGGTTCCAAAGCTACACAGAGAAAAAAAAAAAAAAAAAAAAAAAAAAAAAAAAAAAAAAGCCACCACACTGAAGTACAGTAGTCGTAGCTAAAGGCTTTTACGGAACTTCAGACGCAGAAGTTTGAGTATCACTTTATCATCCCAGTGTTTGCCTAGTTGCCATAAAATTATGCAAGGTCCCAATGAAACTTATAGCTCTGTTATATAAATCAGACTTTGTATATTCAGATTTTATATGTATGAATAATATGGCATAAAGGGTTACTTTATTTATAATAGGATATGAGAGGCATAAAGTACTGAGATTATTCTTTAAACTTGTGTAAATGTATGACCAACTATCACGGGACTTGTCTGATTTGAAGGGAGGGCACAGGACTGAATGACCTTAGTCATCATTTTGTAGCTTTAGGAGACAAAGTCTATCAACTGAAATTCCCAGTATAAAAAGTAAATCCAAGCCAGGCATGAGATTGAAAGCTTATTATTCTAGCACTCAGAGGCACTCTAGTTGGACTACATAGAGAGATTTTGTGTGTGTGTGTGTGTGTGTGTGTGTGTGTGTGTGTGTGTGTGTGTGTGTGATATACTCTCACAAATGTACACAGGCCTGGATGAAAACACCCTGGGCTTTGGGGCTTGGAGAATACAAACCTTTAACAGTTGGGCATGGCTGTGTCCTGTGCTGCCTGCTCTCTTCTAGTCATGCTGTGGGTCAGAGTTTTCACCAGGTCGTCTCTGAAAACTAATCTGGTACCAGTTGGCAAGATGAGGGGATGGGTGAATGAGTGGATAGTGCAGTGGTGGCATTTTCCTGAAGACAGCAGGAATAAGCTGCTGTATGAATAACATAGCTTAAGGAGCTCAAGAGCAGCCTGGAAGGACGGACCAGTGAGGAGAAAAGTTGGTAAATAGACTTTGGGAAGAGGATGGAGAAGACACACAGGCCAACAAGAAATGGTGCATTCACAAACTTCCTTTATCAGTAGGACCAAGAATAGAGGGGTAGTATGGAGAGGGGGCTGCTGGATGTCCGTGTCCTAGAGATTGTAGCTATGACGTTCATGTAAAGAAGGGACATTTCTGAGGGTGGAGGTAGAAGCTGTGGTGAACCATCCCAAAACTTTAGTTATTATTTAAGGAGGGAATGATGGTCTAAGTGAAGTTTCTTTCTAGCAAAAGATAGATGACTCCCAAAGTGCCAAGGTGACATTCTTAAGCAAGGTCTCTTTTTTGTTGTTGTTGGCTTTTTGTTTGTTTTGTTTTTTTGAGATAAGGTCTCTCTACATACTCCTGGCTGTCTTGGAGCTCCCTAGGTAGACTAGTCCTCTATTTTAATGATGTTCTTATGTTTAATATGAAGAGAGAAAAAAAATAAAGGTTTTACAACTTAGAGAAATTTATATAAGATACAGACTTCATTTTTCATGGATTTAAGCCAGATGTTTAAAAATAAATTTAATTAAATTTATTCCTTATATAATATTTACTATCATACCAACCAAATTGACAGTTGCTTTTGAAAGATAATAGGTTATAAGATTTAGGCCATATAAAGTAATAGACTGCAAAGAATTTAATTTAATAATAAGAAAAATACTCTCCAAAGATCATGAACCTTTCTAACAATGTATAGAGCTCTCTGTAAAGCCAGAAGCTTGGTTCCAAACACCATGTTCCCAGTCGTCCACTTTTCCTCAGAGAATAAGGCACACAATTTCTAGTATTAAAAATTGCAAGTTTAACACAAATCTGAAGAAAACAGGAATCATATATGCCACAGAGACATATTAAGACCATGATAACATCAAACTGCAAATGTAGAATTTACAGCAGTGCACTTCCTTCTCTAGCAAAGGTTAATCATTTCAACAGTTGAATCTGAAATACCAAAAGGCGAGATTTCCAAAAAACTACTTTATCTTGACCATCTTTTAATTCTCACTACAGAGAAGACTTAAAAAAAAACTATTCCACACAGTCTTTTACATTAGTTTGTAACAGTCTCCTGACTATTGCAATGTCAGTGGCCGTCAGGAATCTGCATCTGAAATGACAGCATTGTTCAGTATTGTTTCTATATAAGTTCAGTGATGACCCAGATATCACTTTATCAATGCTCTTTGTTAATAAATAGTTTTTAAACTTTCAGTTATGTTTTTTGAATTAGTGAAAATGCTACCATGAGATTCCTGGGCAAAGACACTAACTAACACTCTCCCTCCATAAATTTCAGTGAACGTAACTATAGGTAACATGTGATAATAATGACTTCCTAAACTGATTTCTGAAATCATAACTTAGATTAAATTCTATTATTTTAGATAGATTTTTTTTAACCAATAATTACAGTCCATAAAACATTTAAACTTATTGTTTCAGTCAGGATCAACATATCAGACACAAAATAACTGTTAGCCCTCAACATACAACTTATCATGATCTTATTTATTTTGTCCACGTCACTGTTTCCATATCTCAGGAAAATGTGAATCCACATATGATATGAGTTTTCCATAAATCAGTCACCCTAAATTTTGAAGTTTTTAATCAGGAAATGGACTGGTTTTGAAGAGAGACTGCCAGACAATTCAACAGGTGTTAATGTGACAAAACCAGAGAAGTCAGAGAAAACAACAGCAATATAACATAGCCTGAAACAAGGGCAAACCCAATACTGTACGAGACGGACATGTGACAGGGAAGTGTAAGCACTGAGCATGCCTCCTGAGCAAGAGGGCCCAAGGATTACAAAAACTAAATAAAGCACCTAACTTCGCTTTAAGAATTTCACTTGAGCCGGGCGGTGGTGGCGCACGCCTTTAATCCCAGCACTCGGGAGGCAGAGGCAGGCGGATCTCTGTGAGTTCAAGACCAGCCTGGTCTACAAGAGCTAGTTCCAGGACAGGCTCCAAAGCCACAGAGAAACCCTGTCTCAAAAAATCAA